GCGGGGGCGGGGGGCCGGTGGGCCCCCAGTGAAGGGCTTCTCAGATGAGCGCAGTGGCACAGCCAGACGCAAAGCGCCTTCAGATGCCTGGCCTTTGTGCCGGTCGCCTTGCTTCTAACTGGAGGTGCTTTGGAGACTTGGAAAGGCTGGAAGGGAGCCAGGTAGCGATGGTGCTGGTGCAGTTCGCGTGGCTGGAAGTTGGTCTAGATTAATTTGGAGTGTCCGTGCCTCCAGAGTTGGATTGGCTTGAGGCGTGTTTCTGACTTAGCTCCTTCATGAAAGCCCGTTTTCCCCGGATTCGGTTGTTGTGGCCAGTAAAGCGCTCAATGTGCAGCTAGCTATATCCTTGTGCACGTGAATGTGGTTATCATTTTGCTGTTTTTACCGACTTTTCGCCTAGGCATTCCAGTTTGCATGTGTATTGTAAGTTGATGCGGAGTTGTGTTTTAGGGGCAAGTTAGGGCCCTCATCACAGGGTCTGCTGAAAGGTTCTGGTAGGGTTCCAGTCTTCGCTGAACCCCTTCTCCTTCATAGTCATGGTATCTCTGTACTTCTTTTCTGATAGGGGTGGCACTGTTTTCGGAACTCCTTGCGGGGGGGTGGGGGTGGGGGTAAAAACCAAGTAAGGACAATGGTAATCACCCTGAAGGAGGAGGAGATTGGTCCAAAATTTAAGAGGTCTTGGCTCAAGTAGTGTTCGTCTGGGGACATTGTTCCTTAGAAAAATTAGTCCAGAAACTAAGACATTTCAAACGTATTAACTGTTGAACTTGACACCCACTTCTCAATTACAAAATTAAATTGGCTTACTTGATAACATGGACCTTTGGGTCTTATGACACCCCTCCCCCCCTTTTTTTTGAACAGGAATGTCATAATGGCAGTTTATAGACAGGATTTGAATTGTGCGGGTCCACTTATATGCGTATTTTTTCAATAAATATAGAGTCAGTCTCCATATCACCAAGGTTCGCATTCCCAGATTCAACCAACCCTGATTAAAAACGGTATTTTATTTTCGCATTCCCCACCGTTGGTTGGTTGAATCCGCAGGTGCAAAGGGCCTACTGTAGTTGAGGTTTTGGGGAGTCAAAGGTTTTTTTCTGGATTTCCACTGTATATGGGGTCAGTGCTCCTCACCTCTGGGTTTTTAAGGGATCAACTATAGTAGCTAATAGTAGTCACTGTTCTCTGAATCTCAGTCATTCTTTTAATTCAAGGACTGTAAGGTTCAGGGGGGCAGAGTTTTTGCACTGTGCCGACTAGCTTCTATCTGTGAACTTTTCTTGAGTTTAGAAGTGCACCTTAGGCATTTGTGACTGTTTTAACTTGATTGATTTTTGCCCATAGAATTTCCCAATCAACAGGGAAAAGTGTTATGCTCTCAAAAATCCACTGAATATAAACGTATTTATGAAATTGTTTCTCAGATGACTAGGAAATCTCTAGTTGGGTTGTGTCTTTGTCCAGTGATGAGAAACTGTAACCTAAAGCAAGGAAAGGAGATTGAGCTTCTCTGAAGAATATTTTTTAAAGGATCAGTTTACCTGTCTCCAAACAGATAAGACCAAATTGACCTCAAGCTCTTAGAATATTTTGAGAATATGTAGATGATGATCATGGGTTCTGTGATCCACAATAGCAGTTGACAAGGAGGGCAGATAACTGTAAGGGCTGTACTCCTTAAGTGACTTCAACCAAGGAACAGACTTCTTCATTAACAGTGTTGGTCTTTTCTATCAGAATCGTAAGCTCTGTAAGGGCAAGTTCTAGTCACTTATTCACTACTATATCTCCAGTGCCTAGCACAGGGGTGGGGAACCTTGTTTTCTTCAAAGGGCCATTTGGATATTTATAGCAGCTTTTGCAGGCCACACAAAATTATCAACTTAAAAATTAGCCTGCTACCACTAATAGATGTGTTTCTCTCACATTGATATTTCTGTCTTTCCCTCTCTCTTCCAACCATCTCTAAAAATCAATGGAATATCCTCAGATGAGGATTAAAAAAAATAAAAAAATAAAAAGCAATTTAAAAAATTAGCCTGCTATACTAGGACAAACATTTAATTAACTCACCTCTAATGCCTTGGCAGGGCCAGACCAAATGATTTCGCAGGCCTTATACAGTCTTCAGGCCGGATGTTCCCCACCCCTGGCCTAGCATATAGTAAGCTCTGGAAACATATTAAATTCACCAAATAAAGTCTAAAGAAGAATTTTGGAAAGTATAAAAATCTAGAGCAGCCCTAGCCTGTTTTGCTCAGCGGATAGAGCGTCAGCCTTCGGACCAAAGGGTCCGGGTTCGATTCCGGTCAAGGGCACATACCTTGGTTGCAGGGTCTTCCCCAGCCTGGGCCATGGTCGGGGTGCATGTAGGAGGCAACCAATTGATGTGTCTCTCCCACATCGATGTTTCTGTCTTTCCCTCTCTCTTCCACTCTCTCTAAAAATCCATGGAAAAATATCCTCGGATGAGGATTAACAACTATAAAAAATCTAGAGCAATGTTACTTAAACTTTAACCTAAAAATAGAGACTTTGAAACCCAGTTTGAAAACTAAGCTCTGTCCCTATAGGAGACTTAGTATGAATTTAATTTTAAGCATAGAAGCAAATGTGGTCAGTGAAATCATAGCCTTACACAATTATGAGGTGGATTTCCCAAGTAATCCAGATTATGTTTATGAAAATAAAAACCTTAAAAAAGTCTCAGAGAATCCCAAACCCCTGAAAGTAAACCTTTAGATTTCAGTTTCAGAAATGCCGATTTAGAACAGGTAATTCAGAAAAAACTTTCACTTTATTGTTTTGATGAGACCTGCAAAAAGGAATTCAATAATCTCTTTTGCTTTAGATTTTACAAAATAGAAATAAAGTAGTTCAGTAAAATGGACTCTGAGGAATTCTTAATCAGACTAATATAATGTGCTCACTTCAATGTGAATTCTGTCAGAGGCCCACAGGGAATATGTAGATAATGATAATGGCTCATCACAGTGTGCATCAGTTACATTTCTGGTCTGATGTATATGAAATATCTATCAAACTTCAATTATGAAAATGCTAATAATTTCTTCTAAGTTTGAAAAGAGGGAGGAGATATATAGTAACTTAAATTTGTTTTTTTCAAGAAACTTTCCCCTAATCATAGTTTCAACATGTTGAAAGCAGCTTTCATCTCATCATGTGAAGGCATCAGAAAGCCAGGTCGTTTCCAGCCTCTTTCCCGACCACCTTCCCGAATAACCTAAAAGCACATCACTCCCCTTCTCTGGGCTCTGCCTCATTCCTCTTATGTATACACTAGAGGCCCGGTGCACAAAATTCGTAAACTGGGGGGTCTCTCAGCCCGGCCTGCGCCCTCTTGCAGTCTGGGAGCCCTGGAAGGATGTCCCACTGACGGCAGTCAGACATCCTTAGCACTGCTGTGGAGGCAGGAGAGGCTCCCACCACCGCTCCTGCGCTCGCCAGTGGTGATCCCAGCTTCTGGCTGAGTGGCACTCCCCCTGTGGGAGCACACTGACCACCAGGATGCAGCTCCTGCATTGAGCATCTGCCACATGGTGGTCAGTGTACATCATAGCGACCAGTTGTTCTGCCATTTGGTCGATTTGCATATTAGCCTTTTATTATATAGGATGGAAGTATTAAAATTGTAAACATTGAAATTGAATTAAGAGCTTTTGGGTTTAGCTACCAAAGTACAATTTTTAAATACCAACCAAGTGATTATGTATATCTCTAAGCACATAGGATTTTAACTTAAAGTCAGATATAAACGTTTGCTTATTGCTGCAAAGAATTTCATTGAGAAGTCTGTCTGACATGTCGTTATTAATATTTGTTCAATCATTTGGATAAAATGGATGTGTTTGAGACTGTGTTGCTGCCTACGCTATTGTTTGGCTCTGATGTCTTGTTGCTTTTTGTTTGTTTGCCAGAAGAAAATTTGTCTGCTACCAATTCCAGCCCAATTTTGGAGCCAGGTAACAAATAGGGGTTTTTTTTGTGTGTAGTTATTACATGATATTTTATCCTTTTGTATACTAGGCCTTTTCTTCATATCTCCATTCAGCAAATACTCGAGCATTTAACTATGTGCAAGGTTGTCTGCCAAATGTTAGGCTGAATAAAAGAACTGTAATATACAGTCTGAGAGCTTACAATGCAGGTGAAGTTTGTATACATACACCAGAGAGTTAAAAGCTGTACAAGACAACACAAGGAATGGTATATAATGCAGTACTTGCTTAAGTGTCATTACTAAAATGCTTAGTGTCATACTAAAGCAGACAATAGGTGTGATGGCTTCAAAGGAGGGAGAGAGCACATCACAGTTCATGCTGTAGTAGTGGAGAGATCTCTCTAGATTTGGAATTCATGAAAACATTCCCTTCTGAGCCACATTCTATATTCACACTTCCCTCGATTAATCTACAAAACTCATTCTCAAGTCCCATATTTTTGGGTTTTCTCCAACAATTTGCCTCTTGAGAGTTGGCTTTATGTCTTTGAAACAGATGTGTTCTTCTAGGTTTACCTGAAGATGAAATGCAAAGTGACTGCATGACCTAAAACACTTTTGCTGAATCAGTGCTGGTGCTCATCAGACCTATTTACAAGAGGTAGGCAGACTTCTACCCAGCAAACACAGTGACTGAATTTTTAGAGACATTGCTTAGATTTATTCATCAGTAATTGTCATAATGTTTGGAACAAAGTTCATACTTTAGCAGACCAATCACAGTATAGTATATTTGGTCTTTTTTAAATTAGTATTATTTTTTCATCTTCACCCAAGGATTATTGATGAGAAAGAGAAAAAGAGAGAGAGAAACTTCGATGTGAGAGAAGCATGGATTGGTTGCCTCCCATACGCACCCTGACTGGTGATCAAATCCACAACCTTTTTTGGTTTACAGAACGATGTTCCAGCCAACTGAGCCACCCTGTCCAGCCTAGTCATTATTTTTGAGAACCAATAGGGCAAAGGTAACTTAGACCCAAATGCTTGTTTCTGTATAAGCATTTTACTAGACTTCCCACCTCTGAGGACTTTTCTCTTGTGTTTGCAGGCAAGACTTTTCCTTTGCATTATCGTTGAAAGGTTTCCAAAAAATACGGTCTACTATCAAATAGTTCATAAGAAAGATTTAGTCAGACTTGCTTCCTTCCATTTTTTACATATTCAGTTTCTGTTGTTCCCATGCCACTATTATCCAAAAGCTTGTGTGTTTCAGTTTGCTTGTCTGTTAGTGAATCTGACAGGGGCTTGATGTGTATCTTAAAAGAATATAGTCACACACCCCATAACGACATTTCAGTCAACAATGGACCGCATATATGACGGTGGTATACCATTTAGCCTATGTATATGATTAGTAGTAGTAGGCTGTAGTACATCCAGGTTTGTGTAAGTGCACTCACTCTGATTTTTTCACAATGAGGAAATCGCCTAACAACATTATTTCTCAGAGCGTATCTTTATTGTTAAGCTGCGCATGACTGTAGACTTAGACTACCAACCATGTACTACTTATATTTAGGCTTTCCGTTTTGGAGGTAAGGGATTTAACAAGCACATGTTGAAATTGGATGAATAGGCTTCCAAGTTTCATTTTAATTAATTTAATTTTAAATTATAAGTAGGCACATGTTGTTAGTGCCTACCATATTGAATAGTGTATGAGAAAGCTTGTTATTCAGAGTATTAAAAGTCTTTGTATTATGAAAGGATTCGCTTGGCTACCCACAAACCTCTGGGGAGTTCAAGATTCCTTCTTGCACTCTGTGCCACGTTACCCCTGAGTAGGAGGAACCTTGACAGAAGTCAAGAAAAATGCTCCCCCATTCTAGGAGGAAGAGTTTTTAGTGGAAGGAATAAAATGCTGGGACCTCAGTTGGCTGGGCAGTGTCATACTCTTGGTTCTCTAGGACAGTGCTGTCCATAGCACTTTCTGTGATGAAAGGAGTTTCTATGTCTGCATTGCCCAGTAGCCTCTGTGCAGTAGTCACTAGCCACAGGTGGCTGTTGAACATATGAAATGTGGCTAGAATGACTGTGAAACTGAATTTTTAACTAAATTTAAATATTCATGTGTGGCTAGTGGTTAACGTATTGGCCAAATTTTTTGCGCATGTATTCCCAGAAGAGTTTTGAAATCCATGTACTTTCTTGAACATTTTAAAGCTGAAATTAAAAATGTTTTCCTAATATGTTTGAAAGTTTACAGGATATAGAAAATGTTAAATATTGTATGAGATGAGTAAGATGAGGATTAGCCATAAAATTTATTGAATAGTATACTCTGAATGTGGTGAGAAATTCATCCGAAGTTCTGATCTGTAGGTTCTATTAAATGTATCTTGAAAATGTTGATCAGACACCATTCCACTTACTTTTTTGTTTTGTTTTATTCTCACCTGAGGATATTTTTTCCATTGATTTTTGAGAGTAAAGCGGAGGCAGGGGGAGGGAGGGAGGAGAAAAAGAGAAACACCAATGTGAGAGAGACACATCGACTGGTTGCCTCCCACAGTCACCCCGTGGATGGAATCTGCAACCCAGGCATGTGCCCCTGAGATGTGTGGGGCTGAAGCTCTAACCACTTAGCAACACCAGCCAGGACTCCCCTTACATTTAAACGAAACAATATTACTAACCTATATTGCTTTGGTTATTCTAAATTAAGGAGCCAAGCTTCACACCTGAAAAATGCAAGGCTGGGAATGACAGGAATCCCTAAGGTTTTAAGGTTCCTTGATCAGTCATTAAAGAAGGTGTGTGGATACCCCAGCTGAAGACCACCGCTTTAGAACTCTGAGTGTCTTTCTTGACTGATTAGTGGGCCCTGAATTCCACTGCCCTTAGGAAATGGAAAAGGTGTGCAGCTTAACTCTTGGCTAAAATCCAAGCTTCTGGTGGAGGGCTTGGAGATCACGCTCATTCCCTTTTATCACACTCGATTGACAGAATCATCTCGGGGTTTCTATACTAGTAAGTACTAAGGTCTGAAATAAGGACTTTGTTTTTTAATTACTTACCAGTACATATTTGGGTGCCTTCTGCAGTAGGTCCTCGGACTACAGCAGTGTACCACTTACCCTCACTGTGTCCACCTTCCGTGGAGAGTCAGACCACTAACACACCAGTCACAGTACTGTGAGCAA